ACCGCCCGGTCCCCGATGCTCGTGTCCCTTGCGGGCATCTCTGCCGGCCACCGCGGGGGTTGGTCGGTGGTTCCAAAGCTACCCACTGGGCATTTGTTGAGGAGGTTTTCATGTGCTTGGAGAAGTTACTTTACCCTTGAAGATGACACCCACTCATTCGGGTACACACCCTTAGCTGCAACACGCCCTGCCTTTGCCAATAATTACTGTTATTTACATATACCTTGAGAATACGTAGCAGATGAAAAGCGCAAACGGCCTTCAAAACCCAAGGCTGCTGCAGAGATAAAAGGTGTTGCACAACAAGCGTTTGCAGCACCCGAGGTGTGGAGTCTCCTGCTCCTGCACGAGCCCCTGTGTGGTCAGGCCCCCAGTCCAGGCAGCAGCTGGTATCATTTAAGAAATCAAAGCTTTATGTTGGCAGCAACAATCACTCCAGAAAATGATTTTGGAGAAGAGCAAAATGCAGTAAATAAATCTTCAGATGTGTAGCGTAAGATGTAAAGCAATCTCTGTCTATAATCAAAATGGTTTGTTAAAGGGAGCTCAGCTGCTGAGAACAACGTCTCCATTAGTTTCTGCATGGTCTGGAGCACAAACAGATCCCAGGATGGAATTAAGGGAATAGAACAAAGAGGAATGAGTGATCCCATTTGTTCTTTTAAATCTGAATTACCTTTCTGAAAATGCAACATGGTAAACAGAACTTCAGCTTTCAACATAAGGGCAACAGCCTTGTCTTCTTATGGCTTCTATAGTTAGAATAACGTGATCTAAACAAAGAACTCCTCGCGATTTCAGCGCAAATGCTACTGGTTTCTCAAGTAAAGACAGTCACGCCATGGCCTCTGCAAACAAGTTGTGTATCTTTGAGCAACCGAACAGACTGAAACTAAAGGAAAATAAATCTAGTCAGTCTTGACGGGGGTTATTGCATGCATGTGAAGAGGCCAGAGCATGGTACAGATTATTGAGCACGCAGAGTTTTTAGGCATAACAGTCTGTGCTCTAGTACGAGAAGATAGAAGACTGCATGTTCGACAGGCACTGACGACGCTGGCAATTCTGCGATCCAAATAAACTACTTGTGTAGCTTGGGGAGAGGTTTTCAGACAAGTGGTAACTCAGATCTTCCTCTGGAGGACAGGCTGTGCAATCTTTTCTAAGTTTTGCCTTCAGTTTTGCAAATCTGAAAGTTTTAAATTATTGGAAAGACCTGCCTTATTCCATGAAACACGTCTGTATCTGATGTCTGCTTAATCGGTTTCTTTTTTACCCAAAGCAAGAGAGTAACTAGCTGAAGGTACATGCATGTCTAAATTTTCACACGTTGACCTTCGTCTGTTATTTTTGGTGATGTGAGTTTCCTCAGACTAATGAGTTAGTGGAACAATTAACCCTCCTCTCTTAATTACTAGCTTTTTGGGTGCAGTTAGTTATGAAATGTAAAACCAAAATGAGGTCACTAGGTAACTCCCCCCTTCTTGTAAGTGCCTCAAGATGCATTTTTCTAAAAGCAATCCTTTTAATTGCTGGAAGCAGAAACTCCTAAAATGCAATTTAACTAGTACAACTGCAAATGCTTAAGCATAATGGGAAGAACAACTTGTCTGCTCTTCCCAGAAACTGAAATTTGAATTTAAATTTAATTTTTAGGCAAGTTTCACTGCTTCAAATTTTTAAAACCAAAATTAAGGAGCAGCCATGGGTTCTGTTTCCTCGTAAGAGGGTTCTTCTTGTGTCCAAAGTAACACCTTTTTTCAAACACGTTAGTATCAGAACTACTTTTCCTTAAAAGATGAGGAAAATCCAAGCCTTCCCACTGACGTAGCTCATTGCGTGACAGTGCTTGTAAGAGGAAGGCTGCCATGGGTGATTTCTCTTTCTTCCTCATTTCTGTTGTGTTTTGCAACAATCTTTTCAGCAGCAGTCACCGACAGATAGAAGTGACTGCACATCTGCAGATTTGAGTAAGCTGTAACCCTGTCTGTAGGAATTGATTTGATTGATGTACGTTCTCCATCAGCACCTGAACGGGCACGTTCAGATTTGCCACTGGGGAGAAGGTGCAGTGCAGAGCCTGGCACACATTTGCTGGTGCAGGTTAGTCTTCACATCTACAGTAAGGATTTAAATTAGTTCTCTAGAATTACACTAAATTATACTATTTCATAGAAGAACCAGCACTTTCTAAGAACTACAGCAGGCACTTGAACAAGGAGCTTCCACTCAGCACCAACTGCCGAAAGGTTTACTTCTCTTGGAGTACAAAATGAAATTGTAAACTACAGGGCAGACACTCTGAAGAAGCTATTTAATATGTATACGAGACAGCACTGATTTATGTAGTGTCTGATTTAATAACCGCTTCCAAGCAGAAATAAAGGCCCAAATTGGCTCATGAGACCTTTTGAACTTGGGGGGAATGCACAGCAGTTAACCAGCAGAAAAAAATGGCTTCAGATACTAAGTATTTGGACCACAATCGCATCTTCCTTTTGAATCTTCCAAGCATGATACTTTCGGTAAATTCATACTTCTCAGCCCCTTAGGTAGGAAGTTTTACTTGGTTTAAAGTAACATGAAAATTATTTCTGATAATTTGGAGGGAGGTGGTTAAAAGCTTACAGGCAAAGAGATCACAAGTTCACTAATACTTGTATTATTTCCTCTACAAGTTCTTCCATTCATTGGCTTTTGAAGTCAACAGCCATCAGCAGAGATCCTTCTAGACATAGCCAGCATTTAAACAAAAGCCTAGACCAACTCAGGAATTTTTACTTTGGTTTTCAAAGTGCTTTTGCAGCATAACTTCTTGTATGTAGTATAGTTCAGTAATGAATTCCATTTTATTCTCCCCTGGGCTTAAGACGGAGAAGGGCTGATGAAAGCCCCTAAATCAAATACAGGTGTTACCTTAAAAGACAAGAACCAGACCACTGTAAGTTTAAAAAAACCAAACGTGTTGGATTTTTTTTATTTTTAGACCATTTAAAAAAAAGACCAAAAGGATTTAAAAAAACATTACCATTGGATATACCCACTATTCCATAAAAACATACTAGTTTATTGAAGCATATGCATCATGTGTTCTCTTATAGTTGTAAAGTCATGGAACGGCTTGTATCTGTTGTTGCAATTAAGTGTATTTTTTTCTTCAGTAGGGCAAAAAATGGCATTTTCAGTACATTGGTAGAGTTCCCAGAGGTTTTGAAAGCTCACAGCAAGCAAAACTACTGTTTTTTTACCATTTAGGCCATATTAGTGAAGGCCTGCTCAGACAGAGAACATGTATGCATTTAAATGCTCTCCTGCTTTGTACTTTGCCATGCCGAGGGTCATACCAGGATATCTTAGTAGCAAAGAAAGGAGTTAATCGGTAAAGAAAAGCAAAGACTGGTGTTGAAAAGAATCCTGCATCACAGAAAAAAACCCCTAAGATATGTCATTTACTTCAAGACGACTCTACTCAGTCCTTTGGAAATAGATCTCCTGAAATGCTGCGTGCAGAACATGAGCAAGTCTCCATCGCTGTAGAACAGCTGCTGTATAAAAGACAACGATTATACCAAAAAAAAAAACCCCCAAGACCAAGTCTTACAGCCTTATTTAGAAGCACTACTCATGAGTACTGAAAGCTTTCTTGAGAAGCAAAGAACTGGGCAGCTGCAGTAGATGTCCTCGCTGGCAAGAACTGAAACGGCAGCGGTAACACGTGCTAGGCTGCTGTGGGGTTTTTTGGTTTTCTTAGATCAAGGAAGTGCTCTAGGTTGTACCCAGCATCGGCATCATGTCTTTGCCTAACACCAATGTCAACTTTAAGATGCCCCAGTAACATTCGAACCACTCTAGAAAGCGAGTGCTGTTAATCACATTTCTCAGCTGTGCTGCTTCACCAGCCTCCATGACCACAGCACTAGCGTCCTGGCTGCAGACGTAATCTTGCACTAACCAGACGTGTCGGGGGAGTCAGTCCCTCTGTAAAGCCAGGTCAGGGGGGCTACAGTAGAGAGGTGACGCACATCCGCATCTCACTTCAGCCACAAATCAACAGGAAGGGCCTTTGAGAAAGGCTACATTTTCACTGCGGTCATGTAACTAGAAGACAGGGAGAAGGCCTGATTTCTAATATAAAAACCAAAACCAATGCTATCTTTCTAGGGAAGAAATCCCAAGCAATAGTATCTCTCCATATTGTACAGCTGTTTTTAGACACATGAGGTTTTTTTTTCTGTCTGCTGCAAGATATCCTTTGCCTCTAAAGGCCCCTTTAAGCCACTATGCTGATCATCTGACATGTTATTAAAACCTAGTATCCTTTGGAGACAAGTGATACAGGCAAAGAAGATACAAAAGCCGCATAGCACATTTTGAAATCAAAACAGTACTTCACTAAAAAGAGACACATGAAATGAGTCAATGTTTATTCTTTCTTCTCACTATCCTCAGTGATAGGGTCTGCGGGAGGCTCTTCAACTGTCGCGCTATTGCTCTCTGAACCAGTGTTGCTGTCACTGGTTCCCTCCTCTGCGGTGCTATCGACCCCTTCTTGGCCACTCTCCTTATCATCTGGGGTAGATGTTCCTTCTTCACCATTCTGCTGGTTTTCTGTGCTCTCTTCTGGGTGAGGCTCTTCTGTAATAAGAGAGTTCTCAGCATCATTTACATGCCAATACATTTATTTAGATTGTGCAACCAGAATTTAGGAAGAAACAGAATCTGTAATAAATCTTGAGTATTCCATAGCAGCTATTTCTGTCACTCAGAATGTGCAGTAATAGGCACAGCTCTGAAAGACCTCTCAGTGCTTAGGATATACGTGGTCCTGCCACACAGCGTCCCAAAAGTCACCTGCAGCTGCCTGACCTCTGAGAAGTCTAGCCACAAGAAAGCAATGTGCCTTGTTAAATCAGAAGCACTAGAGTTCAAACTCCTTGGTCCCCTTTGCCTTATGCTCATGCTGTTACAGCAGTGACTCACTGAGATATTTGCCACTGATACTCTTAAATACAGTATTTTCTAATGTCACTGTACAGAATACAGAAAAGCCTGCAACTCAGCTCGTAAGAGCAGCAGCAGAAGTGCTTTTCTATCATCCTTGGTAGACACTGACACAAGGAAACACACTCAGCTGCTCCTACCTAACCAATGTCTAAAAGCTGAGTTACGTTTAGAAAGCATTTTTTTTTTTTTTCCCCTTGGGTACATTACACACAGATCATTATGTATGGCTTTGTGGCACCTTATCCTCTCCCCTTTTAAAAAGGGGCAATTTACTGAGAAGCAAGCAAACACCCGCGTTCAACAAGATGAAGTTAACTATTTTGAGTGTTGTTCTTAAGCCTTTCTTCCTGCTAATGGCAAAAATACAGGGCGCTCCTCCTGGCTAAGCTGAGCCTCTACAGAGAGGCTTTAATGCTGATCCTTCGAAAATTCTGACGCTGGTCTTCAAATGCAGTTACCTGTCTCCATTGGAGCACTCTCCTCTTCTTTCTTCTCCTCTATCTTGTTAGCTGCCTGCTCTTCCTCAGCTGCTATGTTATTCTGACTGCGTTCGGCTTGCTCAGCTGCTTCTTTTTCCCTTTCCTCCTGCCTCTTGCGAGCCTGTTCCTCAGCTTGAGCAATTTCAGCTGCAATTTTTTCCATGTCCACTTCCACCTTCAAACTGCATAACTAGCAATTAAAAAAAAAAAAAAAGGGAAGCTCATTTACTACCCCAGTTACATTGAAAAACAAAACATCAGTAAAACCCAATTATGAGTTCAATATTTCTACATGCAGCATAACTGTTTTAGTTTGACAAAGTTTACATTAAAAGCTTCAGTAACTAGTGAAGGAGGTACAAGCATATTAACAAAAAAATAGGAGGATAAATAAACAACCTAAACCTTGTTATTTGAATGCAGCCAAGGACAGAGCAGTATGTTCTCCATAGTGGCTTTAGGCCACCTTCCTTGAGCTGCTCTCTAGTGAACTCAACCAGTCAAGCCTGAAGGCACTTTGAAATTGTACTGGCAGAATGTCACCACTAAAGGTCACTGAAGGAACATGAAATCATACAAACACTGCGTACTAACACCCATGCACTAGGACACTGCAGTCCTCAGCTGTGTAATTATGCATAATTGAATACAGAATTAAACAGAAGTGGGTAGAGCACTTATACAGGTGGGTAACTAGCAGACTCCTCAGAGTAAGTGGAGAAAAGTGAGAGCTGTACCCTTTTAAGCTCATTGTTAAAGGATTCTGTGCTTTCCAAAAACTTCCTCTTCTTTTCCTTCTTCAATTTGCAGAAGTTCAGCTTCTAGTTTACGCTGGAAATGAAATAAGTGGCAAGAAACTTACTAGGAAGTCACCTGAAGAAACGGACAAAGTTTACAGCTACATACAAAAATATTTAGACCAATATTTTAAAATATACCTATATAATATATAAACATCCTTATACCTTCCTTGATCTAATATCCAATAGCTAAGAAGTTCATCTTGAAAAACATGGACAATAAATGTATCTATGGAGTAATGCAGGATTGGCTAGGCATATTATAAATGAAAATCAGTATGTGCTTGAGGTGAATCTTCTAGCATAAAATCTACTCATTTTCTTTCATACTACACGCCCCATAGGTATATACACACACACACATCAGTTACAATCTCTAATGCAGAAAGATCGCATTTCAAAGGAAAGAAGGGATACCACCCCCCAAATCTTCTTTTGTTAATTAAGAAAAGCAACAAGTCTCTTATCTCATTCTGGTGTCTCAGTTTTCTTCACCTACATGTACCCTGACTATACTGACAGGGTTCTTTTGTTAATGTTTGTTTGGAAAATACAGGCATATGCCCAGTCAAAGCTAGGTGAAAGGTGCAAGGGTGACCTCACTAGATTTCCTTGTATGTGTTTGACTTTCAATGAAAAATGTTACAATAGGGACAATTTACTGTGATAAAGAATCATTACAGAATGTTTTGAGTCGTAAGCTACCTGAAAGTCACAACTCTACCAGTACCTATTAAACAGAAGACTTGAACTACCTACAGAAGGGTTATGTACAATAATGAAGAGCTATGGAATTAATACTTAAGGTATCCTAAAGAACAAAACACAGTTTAACGTAAGTCTCAATAACAAAACAGCACAGAAGGTGAAGCGTCACATCTTGCAACTCCCAAGAAAACCCAGAGATTAGCTATTCAAGTGTACAGAACATTGACACCCAACAAGAATAGTCATGTAGATGATCAAATATCCGAGACTTGGAGTACAGCCCAGCACCATTATGTTTTAGCTGCCTTCATATCATTTATCTTTACCTGATGAACCATTAAAGATTGAACCTGGCGTTTAAGAACTTGCATTCTAGCTGTAGTGACAACAGAGCGGACATCTGGCACCACACTTTCACTCAGTATCTCACTGATGAGACGATGGTTTCTTTGGAAACGAGCTGTGGCTGTGTGCTTCATAGAAAATCCATCGTCGTAATCTGAAACGAGTTTTAAGTGCAACTGCTTTAAGTCCACAAAATGAAGACCAAGTCCAATGACACTGTACCCACATTACCACTAATTAAAACAAAAACCCTAACCCCAGTTGCTGGTCATGTCACACAGTGCATACTAACAAATATGGAACATCAGGTCATCAGAAAAAAAAAGACAGTATGAGGATAGAACACCATTTCCCTGGCACAGCTGTAACAGCTATGATTTTACATACATTTCCCACATGCCTGAAATTTGGATTGACCTAGTTTACTGTGTTGCTTTCCACATTTCTAGAGTAAGAGCGACTATTAATACACCAAATAAGAAACCCCCATTCCTGATTAATCATGTTGCCAGAACAATATCCAGTGCAAAATACCAACAGGAGAGTGACTCCTGTATAAATAAGCTTTGTAGCACAGATCAAAAAGGCATTTTTTGAAACACCTAGGAACAAAAGCATGAAGCAGTGATACATGTTTACTCATCACTGAAAATTCAGTCATGTAATAAGAGTATTCAATGGTTTATTTTTTAAAGTAAATGCAGTTCTCTAAAGAACAGTCACTGAAAAAATACACTTCAGGAGACAAAGTACACAAGCACATAGGTCAAGTGCTGGTCTCCTTATAAGCTTCTTGCAGAGAAATTAAAGGAAGCCCAACAGAAACGAAACTGTCTTGTCTGACATGACAAGAGGATTAACTACAAAGATCTAAGAGTATTTCAGGTCAAGGATTCTTTTTTCCTTTCCGATCAAATTAAGAGAGCTTCCAATTTATGGCAAGATACTACTTTGACAATTTTAATCTAGTTACAGAATTTAACATGAATTACAGCATTGCGGATTGTACGAGGTACTCATTTGAAAAGTAAAATTCAGTTCGATGCTACAAAGCAGAACAAGATAACGTGTTTTCCTATACCTAGCAGCACTCAAAAGCTGCTAGCCCCTAGAAGACAGAAGTCTTCCTATGCTATGACTTTCCATATTTCTTCAAGGAAGGCAGACAAAGACTTTCAACGTAATAAAAATCAAACCACAGTCTGCAGTTTTGGTATCAAGAACCTATCTACAAAACAGACTCAAAAAAATTCAAGTCAAACTAATTAGAATTTAAAGCACAGTAATTAAATAGCATTAAGTATTGGTGAGGAAACAAACTCAGAATAAACTTCTGTGCATATAATTGATATTTAGTTGAGTATTAAAGTGTTAAGCAACGAGTATGAATTATCTTCCAGAATGATGTCATGTAGAAAAGTGAATTCCTTTTACATCAAGTTTTGCTAATGGAGATTATTCTCCAACTATTCACAGAAATCTTAGAGAGAATCCTAACATATCATGCCAGAAAATACTACCAAAGATGGTAACTAGTTTAATGAAAGTTTCTATCTCCTTTATTTCAAAGTGTTATGTTCAATTTCTCACCGAGGTATCTGATTAAATGAAGTGAAAAGAGAAAAACAGCGGGAAGACTATAGATTTGCAAGAGACAAAAGTACTAAGCAAATTGGTCTCCTTAAAGCTGTGCCTTTGTCCTCTTAGTAAGATCCCTTTTATGCTGAAAGTTCTTGATCCTAGCGATGTGCAGGATCAGACAGAAACACAGAAAATAACTTGCTGTTTTGTCCCAGATGTAAACAGATGCAACTCGGGGCCTAGTGCAGCTGGTTCTGGCTGACTTCACTTGGCTCAGGTAGCACAGAACAGAATTTGAAGTCCCAAAATGCCAGCTACTGGAACACTAAAGGTGTTTACATAAATTCTGCAGTTACCTCATGTTGGGGAAAGTCCTGTTTCTCATGAGCTTTATCTCAAGGGTGTGCTTTTACAAGGGGGAACAAAAAAAAAAGCGTGAAACTGAGTACATTTTTTCACCTTCAGGTTTCAACAAGTATTTGGTCATGAATTTAAAAGTAGACATCAGGTGTACGAGTCTGAGTTTTGCCACTGGGTGGGGTGCATTTCCTTGCAGTCAAATACACTTTCAGAATTTTCTCATCGATTTGCCAACAGCAAGGGTAACTTATTTTCTAATAACAACCTCAAATGACAGTTGTTGAACACATTCAAAGTTCAGGTGCTCTTAATCATACCAGAACGCTACCTGTCAGAATTATGTGCTCTGGTAATAAAGCACAAAATTCCATTCAAGCTGGATTAAATCAGGCATCTAAGCCTTTCATAATGCATATGTTAAAGCCATTACAGAGCTTTAAGCAGACTTATTTGTTTTAACTGTAAGCATTACTTCACACATAATTAAGGGTCAGAATAACTTTTGCCACTGGCGTGCCACCTTAGTTTTTACAAACAAGACAAAAGTCAGCTGTTAGCTGTATGAAATAAAACGTGATAATGAAAATCAGTATTAAAGGTAGCAAAATAGAAAGGAAGTCACATTAAGCATTGTGGAAGTTGTACACTGGTAGTTTTCCGTATCTGGCGTCCATTTCTCTACACTGTCGGTCCTGTAACGAGAGCGTCTCACCAGATGTGCATACAAATTCCTTTCTGCTTACCATCTGGATCTTCTGCTGGCTGTATACTCATGTAAGGTTCACCTTTCTCCATGCGTGACTGCCTTTGTCGGCTTTCTTCTTCTAACGCAGCCTCAGCACGACTTTTTGCGTTGATGTAGGCAAGGTATGCAGGAGAGTTATGGTAGGCCTTCATGGACTCATTGTACTCTATCTGAAATGTGACCAATATTGTTTGATTGCACCATTGGACGATTTCAGACTTGACATAACTGTGGCCTGTATAACTCAAATTGTAGTTACACAGACAAAGCTATTTTGAATCATCTGGCTGATACACAAATGACCATATTCTCTCAGTCTTTCTTGTTACAAATTAGAACTTCTTCCATAGTCATTCATGTTTTAAAAACACTAGCTGGGCTTTTAGGTATATTTCAGTTGTAGTACCTGAGAAGTCTTACAATAGCTTTGTTTTTGGAGATTTAAAAATCAAACACCTCGGAACGAGGCATTTATGATCAGACAAACTCTGAGAAGATAAAAAAAATGAGTTAACTTAAAATATTCTCAATAATTCTCTGGAGTTCTAACTAGATCTTTGATTCTGATTTCTTCTCTTTCCTTATTCCAGTATGCCATGAACCAGTTTTCAAAATAACTTATGATTTTTCCATTCTTTGATCCATCCCTGCACTGGGGTGATACAGAATGCTGCAGCCAGACTACTGTCTCCTCCTGGTAGCAGGACTGCATCACTATTTTCACCTTCTTTGAAGTATTTTTCCCTTTGAATTGCTTTCTTTAATCTCACTTTTAAAATTTGCCAAGTCTAGATTTTGTACAGTGATTTGAGATATTTCCAATGAAAAATGAGATATAATCTACAATATTGTTAAAAGTACCTAAACACCTTGTTTTCTTTATGATTAGGACTGGAATCCTTCTACCTAGGCACTGTAAAAATATAAACAAGATGGCCCCTGCCCCAAGGAGCTTACAATCTAAACATTATTACCAAGTTAAAAGAGAGAATTCCTTGATTCCCCCCCCGCCAAGTTCTCTACTGACTTGGAATAAAAACAGCTCAGGTTTGACCAGGTTACACACAGCCTCAGATGCCTACCAGGTTTAAGCACAACACAGCAGCTGGACAATTTTCCCTTTGTACCTTAGGATCACAGTAACAGTCTTGTACACTTACCAACCTAGACATGAGGTAGCTGTCATCTTTTGCCATGAAGATCAATAAAAACCAAAACAAAACCACAAGAAAACCCTAAAAGTGGTAGCATTTTTCTATTAAGAAACAAAACACTACGCCATAGCGTGAAGTTATACCAGATTACACCATGAAAACCAAACCCTACGTGACTGGAAGTCTTTTATGAACAAGTTCATGACAACAGCAGTAGTTGCAGAGCACCAGTTTTGAAAGAGGATTTTGGTGTTGAGACAATCTTTTCAATACTGATGTTGTACAATCAAATCCATTCATTAAACAGTTAAAATCGACACTCAATTATAAATACTTCATTTTGAATTAGGTCTAAAAACTGACCAGTCACAGTTGATGTACAGTTATTTAAAAAAAAATCTAAAAGACGTGTCAGGACATACTTCCATTTAAGTTACATACAGGGGTCTCGTGAATGCCTCATACACCACTGCATGGGTAAGATGAATTTTTCTTCTCAGACCAGTTCCTAGAGGAATCAGCTGTAATAAACATCCCAGATTTCTTCCATTTACCTTTTCAGCTTCATATTCATTCAAATACTCTTGCTTCTCTTCATCAGTGAGATCTCGCCACATTCCTCCAATAATCTTGCCAATTTCCCATAACTTCAAATCAGGATTGGACGCCTTCACTTGGTCCCAGACCTTAACAGAAACAGCTGGAGCTTTACTAATGATATCTAAATACTTCCAAATTAAACATTTTATATTGTCATCTCAGTGTTCTTTCTGGAATCACCATGAAAAACAGGATTAAGTTAGGAATGAGTCTGGCTAAACTATCTCGATTATTTTCTGGGGCAGGAAGTCAGTAGGAAGCCATCTACTGAAACAGGCAATTGCTGAAATGGCTTTGGTTTCATGAGAATATTGCCTTTAACCCTCTTAATTCTCTTCTTAAATGCACATCGCTGCATCTCTGGGAAAAAAAAAAATTGCTACTGAGTAAACACATCCAGCAGTAGATTATGATAAAGAGCACTGAGCTTTTCAGATCAGAATGTAACATTTCAAAATATTTTTCAGTCTTGCTGATCAATTTGAGTTCCAACAAGTTCTGACTCCACCAAAAAAGTTTCTAACTTTATAGGGAAAAAAAAACAAAGAGGAAAGAGCTGCCAGTGTTATTTCTTGCTGCGCCACTTGACTTTTTTTTTTGTTGATGGTTTTTTGCCTAAGACAGACAGGCTGGTAAAGATACTTTACCAGAAGTGGAAGAAATTCCTTCTGGCTCACCCGCTTCAGACAGGCTGACATGCCCTCCCCATGCCCCATCAGATTTCAGACTCCACAAGAGTCTCTCTCCTACTTTCTGTCAAACAGTTCATAGAATAGCGAAGTAAACGTTGCCACAGGCTAGGTTGGTGAAGGAGAACATGCAAAGTCCACTCATTGCTACTCTTCAGTCCAGCTACAGCACTGTACCAAGCCCAGTATACCGCAAGGAATATTTCCTTTATATAAAAAAAGTTCTGTCAGTAAGTCACAGGCACTTCTGAATGTGGCAGGGTGGATCCTTGTCAGCAGAGACAGTGGTAGTAATTATCATTTTAGAGAAAACTTTTCCCCCCAGAAATTGACAACTGTATGAACAGACTACTGCTGCCTTTATTCTGAAGGGCAATGCATCTGTACTTTACAATTCCCTTAAAAGAACGTGCAGGCTGTTAGAAGTAAAAGTTTAGAAGCTGAAACTAAGATAATAGCAATTAATTGTTAGCACATACGAACACTAACTTTTATTATTACTTGTTTGACACTGTATACCCACCTTCCGGCTGTACCTCATGTAGGGCATCAGGGGCTTGTCTGGGGGTTTGGGGGGCTTTGGAATGGTAATACCAGAGGAAGCCTATAAAAGAACCGAATAAATCCATTTGTTAATGCGATCACCGGACAGTTTCTGTACACACTAGTTTTGGAAAACACTCATTCTTGTGCAGTTAACACAAACAAACTAGACCCCTCTACAGCCTCCCCGCCATGAGAAACAAGCAACATCAGCCAAAAAATTACCCAGACCATGAAGAGGTACTAACTAGAGCTGGTCCTCACAGTAATATTTTTCCAATTTCAGTCTGTCCTTTTATCTGGAAGTTTACAGAGTAGTAACTAGATAAATCTTTAAAAGGGTTCCATATGCTTAAAACTGAACCACACAGCTTAGAAATTTACATGGAAACACCAATCCCAACAGGTTGCTTTTCTCACTTCTGATGAGCAATTTATTGTACCTGTTTTGACAACTTTACTGTGGCTACTGTACAGGTGAAAAAAGATAAGGACAAAGTTTAAGATCCTAAAGTTAGAGACATATTTTCATTTTCAAATCATTGTAGCAATGTATTTGTCCACAAAACTTGTCAGTGGTAATTTGGAGCCAATTAAACTACTCATCGTAAAAAGACAACAACCCTATGCAACCGATCTGTCAATGTGTGCATTATTTGTATCCAAACTGTACTTAATTGTCCAAATTAGCCTGCAATATCCTTCTGTGCTCTTATCTTCCTTTAGGTTTGTTCACTGTCGAGCACATTGCTCGCACTAAACAAAAGGACACCGAGTACTAACTGTTGCTGAACTGAAAGCTGCTGCTACTCCTGTGGTCCCCTCAATCTACAAAACACCTGACACTAAAATAGTGCAGTAACATTACAGTCCCCGTCAACTGCAAGTTCTGAAAACCTCCACTCTTCAAGCACTTACACATGCGAGGAGTTCTATTAGATTAAGTGGGAGCATCTTCATAAAAAGATAAAGCAGTTTCAAGATTTTTCAGCACTACGGCCATAGATAAGCAAATACTTGGATTTGGCCAAGAAGGCTCATGTTCAGTATTTAGCTTTCAAATTTTTCCTCTTGGTATTTTTTTTTTTTTTTTTGCTGAGTTTATGGAGCTCTATGAAACAATGCATACAGAATTGTGTATAGATATAAATAATGTACATGAGGTATATGCATTACCAAAATGTATACATATATACACATACAGATGGATTTGAAAAACATTAACAGAAACTGTTTAATGCTTTTAAATTAAGAGGAATTTAAAGACACCATACATATATTGGTATATGCATGGCAGAGAAGGCTGTATATGCTTATGACATACAGAAACAATGAAAGTTCTCAGACAAAACCTAACTTATTCTGCTGCAAGGAAAAAAGTATATGTTCAGACAGTATGTTCAGTCAAGTTCCAGCTTGTATGGGGAAGGTCTTTTCTGCAAATGTTTTAACAAACCAGATGAACTTCACATAGGAAGTTTGAAAGAAGGTTTATATAAGAGAGGCATAAAAAGAGTACACTTCATTAAAAGCACCATATATTTGTTCCTTGGCAAATCTTTGTATCATATTCCAAATGAATCAGATGTTTTGAGATAGAAAGTTTTACATGAAAAACCTTACAGTTATGAGAATTACAGAAATGTAAAAAAAAAAAAAAAAATCAGGGATTTACTCTATTTCTGTTGTGTTAGTTATGAAAATGTTACACTTCCAGAGTCTATTTCTGTTCCTAACTGCATCCAATGCTCAGGACTTTATCTGTATTTGAAGAAGCTGTCCCATCGCTCATCACTCGACTCCATCTCACTTTGTTTACTCCATGAAAAATGAATGTAACATCCATTTTCCACACACTGACAGAGTACATAAGATCTGAAAGGATTCTGTTTTATTACCATCATCACACTTTTGTTGAAAAAGATTAATTTCTGAACTTGGGACTTTGCAGTTATTACCAGACTAAGACCAGAAAGAAATATAAAGGCTTGCATCTCTTGCGTGGCTCAATAGTACGATGCAACTACTATTGCTGATCTCCAGTTTGCAAAACGTTCTTCCTTATTTCTGTGCCAATAAACCTCAATAAAATGAGCAGTTCCCTCCCTCCAAGAATTCGTACCCATGCTATAGAACTTCTCCCTAAGCATGCAGTGGTCACTGAAGACCACAAAGTCTGTCTTTTTTGGAGTTCTGCATCATACACGATTACCACATTTTTTTTTTCTGTGCTGAGGAGAAGTCCATTTTCCTGCAAAAGGTTTCAGAGTGAAAGGGAAGGGGTAGGGGTGAGGAGTAAGAATCAGAAGTAGTTTTTTGTTTTTATAAAGAAGTGGCAGCCGCCAAGATTCAGAAGAACCTAACTCTAAAGCCATTTCTGGTCAATTCCTGTTGTTTGCCGGATGATGTAATAGTTGATTCTCCTACCGTGACCCGGCTGTTGGTGCCCGGGTTCCCTCCCAGCCTGTAGTTGTTGTAGGCCAGATGGCTGTATGGATTGTATCCCACAAACCCTGGTGTGCTGGGCATTTGCTGATGGAAACAAATGAGACAAAAACACGAATGAGAAATGAGCTCAAACGAGGAAAACACAGAAATGAAAATGAACTGCAATATGGCATGCAAAAGCAACCAGAATTTAAACAAGCAAATGAGGTGTAGCAGTTGATATCTTCTCAACACACAAAACTTACTCCAGTATAAACCTATTAAGGAAACAGGATTTTTAAGCAAATGTGTCACTACAAGTTTCTGACTGAAGTTGGTGATTTTATTTCTATTAAGTGTGTAACTCGTTTAAACAAGTATTCTATAAATCCAGCTCATGGCTAATAAAATTTTCCAACATAAGCCACCAAGTAATTCAGAAAGACTCTTATACCCAAAGGGTTAAGCTTACAAGGCAACACAGCACGCTGTAATCGGGCAGAAATCCCTAGTATCAACATTTACTATACCAATGAAATTCCCCGTCTCTCTTCTTCCTGTCCTTCTGCCTTTCCAACAAATATTACACTCAATAAATAGGAAAAGGAAAAAACCCCTCTCTCAAAGCACCATCTGTGCTCCACTACCAGTATCTGAAGACTTTCCTGGTGGTTTGCAAATTTTAAGTATTTTGGGGAACTGTGATTAGAAAGTTGGGAGAGAAGACAATTCACAAAGATATCTTTCTGTTACGAGGTAGGCTGCAGACTGACAGAGTTGAGGAACCACTGCAAAAAGATCTGCAGGTTAGAAACTACAAACTAGTCTTAACACTGAATCCGAGACAATTTCAGAAGTTAATCAACACATCTTCATTCATTCTTGAAAGTGGATCGATTCATTCTCATCTCAGTAATGTAGAGAAGAATCTGATTTCTTTACAATCCCTTCTTACCCATCACCTACATACAATCAAGTATCTGAAGGTTCACTGTATTCCCCTCCTCGCATAAGTCTCTGCCTTGCCTTTTTCCATTATCCCCTGCTTCCCAGTCAAATTTTGTTGGAAAAAAACCAGATCAACTATTTAATAGTAATTGCGGTGAAGTCCTGACTGTGGTGGTCTCCATTAGGATTCATGGCATCCTGTAGGGTTTCTAGACATTTAAGTGTCATCCGCACAGTATCCCACTCTTCAGCAGCGCTTTGGCCCTCCTAAGAAACACATATCGCAGTAGTCTTTTAAAGTGATTTGCTGACTGGACCCATTCTAGATTACAGTTACAAAAATTCTACAAATAAAATCAGGACTCCAAGAACCAGAATTTGACAAATACAAACACTGAACAAAAATATCTATATATAAGCTAAACTACATTAACTTGTGAAGTTTTCAAGTATATGTAGACACACTATAGTCAGTTTATTTCTAAACATACAAAGTTATCCTTTAACAGTCAGCCTCTAAATATATATTTTATTCTAAAAAACTTTTTAAATTCAGTCACAGCAGTTGACATTTACTCAATCTGTATGCCTGTGATCATGACATACACATTCACTATTTCATCAGATGCCATTTTACTATAGTTTTCTGGTTTTGAATATGTTGAACTACACCTCTTCACTACAAATCAGATGACAATTGTAATCTCCGTCTGCTTAATTCTTTATTTCTGCAAGACAGGATTTAAGTGTTACAAGGGAACTACCTTGCATTACACGGAAAATTGTTACTTCAGCTATAATACTGTAGTTATGAGAACTACTGGTATTTTGTTGACTATAGTAACTGGAACTGGCTGTGGAAAAACAAGCAAGGTTATCTGTCTACTTCTATGACTTGCATTAACAGAGCACAGGCTACCACCTCAAGGACTACGTAAAACATAATACAGAAGATGCTTGAAAGGCAGGTAATGGATGTCACTAGTTGCAGTTTTGAAATTCGTTTCATATACCCTTCTGAAGACTTCTAACTTGACTAAAGAACACACCACATCAATATACACCGTTTAACAACATTTGCGTCCATGCTACATCCCAAAGGAATCACATGTGTATGCACAGCTCTCAATGCAGGAATCCAGTTGGAAGAGTGGATGCCATCATCATGTTTCTTCTAATACTGGCACAAGTTATTAAGTTATGTGCAAAATGAAAACTCTGAACAAACTATACAAATAAAGTTTTATTTATGTAATATTTTATGAACATAACTTATATTTATACATTATATCATTTTCAAGCCTCTTGAAATGTAAAGTATGGCACAATAAATTTGAAGGATCACATTTAATCTAAATCCCATCCTGCAGTTTTCACCCCAGCTGCAGAGATCAGGGACATTCTACTGGATAACAGTTTCCAAATTTCCTTTGGTAAAAAAATTTCACTGTAGCATCCTTGCTCATTCTTCTGTACAAAAGATTTGTATTTTCTCTTGTGAATACGTTACTCCTAAAATGCAAGCTATTTAGAAATGTAAACACTACAGAAGAGGTGTGCTTGCTTTCAAATGCTTTCCTGACCACAGCATACTGGGTTTTCAGTACCTTTTTGTACACACATGAATGCCACTGGACATGATTCAAAGCTACTGTTCGTGTTTTTCTAAGTGTCATTCCACACCATTTTACTAGAAAGTAAAATACTTCTCGTGCCATGGACTTCAAACTGCCAGTGATTTCAAGAAATTTAAATAAGACTGTCACCATGAGTGTTTCATTATTCTGACCCAATATAACAGAATTTTGCATACTCCTGCATTCCACCAAAAGTCGGCTACGTACAACAGAAACATGAAAAAATGCACTGTTTGCCCATGCTTTGTGCACAAGTGGGAAGTTTTAGAATTAAATATACCAGTTTGTTGTTAAACTTGTTGCCAGTGTATGGTTGCAACCCACTGTGAATATAATTTTAGACCAACTGACTGCTTACAGAAAATTAAGTATCTGCAGGATCTAGTCTTAAAGGTGAAACAACTTTATTCAGCTTCTCTTTCACAAACTGCTTAAAAGAGAAAAGAGATTAATTGAAACAATGCATATCATTATTAATAACGAAATGCAACTAGTTTGTGTTTCCAATACAGGAAGGTAATGCAACTCCATAATTTACAGGAAGGTAATGCAACTCCATAATTATCGCTCTGGTAAGTTATTAAAAGCTGTATTACCAGATCTGTGTTAATGAGGGGGAAAAAAAAAAAAAAAATCACTATACTTACGGTTGCAGGAGCTGGGGTAGGAGGTGGGGCATAAGATGGCCTTTCTGTTAAGATATAAATGTAAGCGAATTTTTTTTTCCTTGAAAATTTGAAAGAATTCTTTATAAGGCATCTGCTGTGGCAAACATTTTTAAGCAGTTTACAAAAACAAGACAGAAATCCTACTCTCAAAGATTTTGCATTTTGCCACTGAAGAGCATAAAGCAAAGAACAGAAGAGAAAGAAAAGAAAGAAAAAAATTGCAATCACACCATTGCTATACTGCTAGCCTTTTATTTTGGCATAAGACTGAAGAATGTGCAATCCACTAACACGCACATCAATTAAAAAGAGAGTAAGCAAAAAATGCAGTGAAACAGGATTTAGGAGAGGCTACAATATCTGCATTTTCTATGAAAACAATATCCCAGAAATCAGCCACAGCAAGATTTAAGGCCAAGAGTTTGGTCAGAAATGACTACACCTCATATAATTCCTTTTAATGCAAGGAATGTCACAAACAGGT